ATCATTTATATAATATATGAAACAGAGCAGAATCTCCGAAAGCAACGTCTACCTAAAATCAATCGAACTTCTATTTTAATAATTTTTATAATTCAAAACTATTGATTGCCGATAATATATTGAATTTCTCGACATTATTTTCGTAAGGAAAAATAATTTCAATTTTCGGAAACACTAATAAGGAAACCCCGTATAATGCCTTAGTTGTGATACACCTAATCCACCTTTCTCGCTGCTTCTCCTCAGAACTCCTCAACGTTGAGGGTCGGTCTCGAGCAGTTGCCGCTCGAGGCGAACAACGTCGATGCAGTATTTGGGTAACGACACGACCTCGTCTCACGATGTAACCACGTCTTCGAAGGTATACTATAATATACGCCACCGGCGTAAAACATCGAGCCATTATACCATGACGCAGATGCGAATATCGAATTCCGGCTTTGCTTTCGATAAGAAATACCGGTGAAAAAGCCGCATTTACGAGGAGATTTCGCATGATACATCGATATATTCTTGAGTGCACTGCACTGAGCCTCGCAATAATAAATAGATGATTGATGAATATCTCATTCTCAATTCGATCAAATTTTTTTTAAATCCGACAGGGAAACCTCGAGAATCCGAAAATTTTGATTTTGATCAAATTTTACACGTATTCTTGAATATTTTTCAAATATCCAGAAAAGCAAAGAGTCGTTTTACAATTAACACCTTAATTCCAATTTAATTTTTCCTAATAAAAATTTGAAACATATTTCATTATATCTATTACATGCATGATTATAATATTTAATTTCGATTTTTTTTTTAATTTTAAAGCAATACGATATTGAATCTAAATTTTTCTCTACACACACAAGCACATCATTAATAAGACACAACTAAATATTAAAGTGTTTGTAAAATAGTATACTAAATGTCGAAGGTGAATTGATGTATTTTCGAGTTCATTATCTTTCTCTCTCTCTCTCTCTTTTCTCTCTCCTTCCACTCTATCTCTTATCGTCAGCCATATATTACCTCGTGACACGTATCGCGACTTTCACGGTGCAAGAAATATCGGGGGTTTATATCTCGTAGCTGCACACCATCGAAGCTATCCCGTAGATCAAACAACGCGCGCTTGTCCCGAGTTAAATTCGATGGCGGATGATGTAAATATAATATGCTCGAGACTCTCTCGCGATTACTTGGAAACAGTTTGCCACCGTGGAAATGCTTTCGGATATCTAGAGGTAACAACCTTCTTATCTATTCGCCGAGTCGTAAGATGAACGACCGCGTCAACTATGAATGTTGTCCGAAACTTTCCTTTCGTGGTGCATTATAACCCTGCGACACGATTTGAAACGACTTGATTTTAAGACCAGGAAGGAACGAGAATTTTATCTATTAAATTCACCACAGTTCGGATTTTCAATCTTTATTACTTTTTTGTTCTTGTTTTATTAAATTAAATTCATTAGATTCATTATTAATAAGAGTTACAATTCACACGGAATTTATAATTATAATAATATTTATAATTTATAATTTGATAACTATTATAATTTATAATCTTCCCCACAGAATTTATAATATTAATGCAATATCAGAATTTATAATCACACGATCAAATTTTAATCTATAATCACAATACAAATATTGATCATATTTCTAAAACTTCTCGAATAAAACTTGGATTTTTTTCTCTTTCTCTCCCTCCAAAAGAGAACTCTTAATCTGAAATTCGATCACAGAATTAATGTAACATCAGAATTTAATCTACAACTTTGACCACACTTAATTACACTTTTAATTTTTCGAAAACAATTTTTAATTATTTTAAAATTATATTTTATTTTTAAAATTGCTTGAAATTTTAAATTTTATTTTTAGATCCTCTCTCTCCTTATCTCTATCTCTCCAAACGAGCTCTTAAAATATCAAGAGACTTCAGCAAGACGCGTATAAAGTATCGGGGGAGGCAAACAACGCCTCGGCGAAGAGCGCTAAATAGTCCGAGGTCCGATCAAAATTACAGCAGTAATTCTCTGGTCGGGGAGCAAAGAGAGCCAGAGGCAGATGTACAAACAACCGTCGGTCTTTCTCGTTTCTCCTTTTCCCGGAGGAACAATTCACCCGTCCGGTTCCTTCCGGCCGACCGTAAATCCCGGAACCGCGAGATGACATTACGAGAGAGAAGAGATCATAACTTCATATCTCTCATCGCAGTCGCCGTTCAAATCAAGCACCAAAACCACGCATTCACGCTCCGTCAATATATTTCCGCAAGATTTTTCCACGAGAGATTTAAACAAAGAAAGATAAATCTTCGATATAGAGGTGATCTCCACCAAATTTTTTGAAACTTACATATTTTTAAAACATATAGGAATTAAATCTCTCAAGAAAAAGTGTTGCTCTTATTTCATTTTTGATAAATGTTCCTCCTCTCAGTTTGATAAATATTTTATATTGATAAAATAAATAAGATGATGTGGGAATAGTATCCCTCTTATTTATTAATGTAAGGTTTATGTGTTTATTTTTAGAAAATATTGTTTTATACACAGAGAGAATTTTCTGTTAGAATTTATTTTAAAAATTATGTAACCGTGGAATATAATATCTATCACAATAAGATATAAAATACGTTCGAGTGATTTTACTAAGTACATATTAATATTTTTTATTGTGGTAAATATTAATCAGAGAAACTCTTATAAAAATTCTTCCAGTACCATATTGTTTTCTATAACCATAATTTTCAGGGTAAATTCTAAGAGAAAATTCTCTCCGTGTAAAAGAGTGAAAAGTAAATGTGAAAGCCCTCCCCAAAAAATTCTAATTTCAATTATTTCTTTTATAAAATATGTATATACAATTTTACGCGCGTTAAACACGAAAAAAAAAATAGTCAATGTAACCAAATTTAAAAAAATAGTCAAATGTAACCAAATTTTAGCTGTTCCTAAAAAGTTATCATGCCTAAATTTTAGCTACAACAAATAATATTTTTTAGTTTAGTGAAGAATTCTATAGCTAAAAAATATTAGTTATCATAGCTAAAATTTAGCTACAATAGATAATTTTTTTCCTTGAATAATTCATGTAATTGATCATCACGCAAATAACTGACAATGCAGCAGTCATGTGCGCAACATATATGAAAAACTGACTCAATCAAGTAAGAGAAATGCATAGAATAGCGCGCGTTTTCGCGCGAAACATCATTATTTATCGATGCAAAGAGGCAGCATAAAGTGATTTTTTTTTCTTCGAGAGATGATTCTTTTTCCGACGTCGAGGAAAAGAACTCGCGAACTAAACGAACTCGACTCGCGTAACATAATTAATTGGTAAAATCGTCGAGCCGTGATAAGGTAAATAATCACGGTGCCGCGTGCACATTTTTTTGCACCGGACATTAAATGACGGCTATAAAACGTACGACATTTTCCAGTTTCCAGTGCTCCCGCGAGGTCGAGAGCGTTAAATTACGCAATCGGTGATTAAAGCCTACGATTTATTAAGAATACAAATATCGCGGTTGCGGGGAAAATATATATTTGCGCCATCATCGTATTTGACATAACCACTTGTCTCGCAGCGACCAAACCGCGAAAATTCTATATATATTTTATATATATATAAATGCGTAAATTGAGAGAGCTCGGGAGTCTGTAAATTTGCTATGCCAAAATAATTGTATCAGGCATCCAGATACTTCAATAAATTTTTAATAAAAATAAAATCATTAACACATAATGACGCAACATTTCCAATAATGAAATTTCCATTTTAATTTTCCATTTTAATTAACAGCATATGTAAAATAGTTATGAATATTATAGATACATTATATATTATAATGTTGTATTATGTTGTAAATTCTCGCTGAATATTTAAATATTATGTTTTCCACATTAATTTTAATTTACTTGCAAAGACAAAATAATAAAAAAATTTATTTAAATCAGAGTTTTATATAAGTATTTTATATTTCAGATCTTCCTCTTATTGTTAGCTATGATAATGAAAATAAATTTCTCTTCCCTGTTTTCACACAAGATAAAATTGCTTATTCTTTTGTTACACTATAAAAAAATTCTAAAAATGTTTCACTTTTGTCATATATTTTTGTTTGTATTTGTTTTCGTATTATATATACTATATTTATTATTATTTCACATGAAATATATTCACATTATGCAATAAAACTGTTTAATTAGAATGGAATATTTTTGTATTAAGGTACACAATCATGAATTTACCTTTGTTAATCACTCTGCATTTGAAGCTAAAACTCCAGGTCATAAAACTGTCGGTTTATTTAATCCAAAAGGATAAATAAAAAAATGCACAATCTTTCGTACGCGAAAATAAAGGGCAGCAAAATCGCACGATTGCGTAATTAAGCCTGTGAACGGCCGCGGTTCCGACAGGACGAGTTATTAGTCGTGACATTAGTTTACGGCATGAATACGTTGGCTTAATTAATTGGCAGCTATTCCCCGGACAGCGTGTAACTACAGATTACCAATTATAGCGACACCCTTCGAAATTTCCGAGAGATGATCGCCTATCCCCGGCTTTTCGATACCGTGCGATACGAGGCGGGAAGGCATCAGCTGATTACATAATAACATTTTACGCGGGTCGAAAATTATGAAGCCCGCTCGGCACGTTACGGATTTTCGGAAAACACATTTAAAAATATATATTCGTTTTAATTGAACGTATATTGCAGCGCCAATTATACGCTTGCAATTTTATATCACACATTGAAAGCTTATTAAATATTAATTATTTATTCATCTCAAATTTTTAACAAAATTCGTAAAACTTTTCGTATTATTTAAATTATTTTTCGCCAAAAGTTGGCTCATACAAATGGATATTAATTATGATTTATACAAATCCCCCGCCAAAAAAGCACGACGCAGTTGTGTCAACATTATCATGCAAGCAAATAGAAAGAAATAAAATAAGTAATACTAAATATAAACAATATTCACCGGTTGGTACCCTGATGTCATAATATCCTCGACTGGTCCAAACGTCGTTACATCCAAACATTCGTTCACACGAATACGCAGCGTCAGAAAAACTCGGCACACCCGATATATGTATATTTGTACACGCGAGACTCCGCTAAAAAGGAAATGTATATCGATTTCGCCGAAACGCTTTCAAAGCGACACGACTCAATTTAAATAGTAACCTCACTCCACTCCGCGACGCGACATATTTTTATCATTCACTCGCGAACTCGCGTATCGATCGAAAATACAAATATTATCGTCGCGCACTTTTCAATCACAAAAATTCACTATTTCAAATATACTAAAACATTCCTCGTATTATTCGGCACTTCCGACACTCGGTCGCGCGCGAGATTCAACGAAAACAGCTGATCTATCACGTCGAACGATAGTAACTCGTCCTTCCGGCGACAACTTCGCGCCGTTCCGCGCGAGCCGACTTACTTCTTCTCGCTCTAACCCGCAAAATACCGGCAGAAAATGCATGCTCGTTGACGCGCGCGTCGATTAACACGAAAGTGCCCACGTGATAATTTCGATGCACGATCACTTCTCGTGCGATCCGACACTCCCGTTCGTGCGCGAGAGAGAGAAATATCGGGCGAAAATCACGGAGCTATTTCGCCAACAACCTTCCGATTGACGCGTCCCGTGAGGAATGAGACGCGAGCGCGCCACATTCAAAACAAAAATAGTCGAAAAAAAAGTTAGTGTATTTAACTTGGAAATTTTGCGAGATAACAGTTCACCGTGAAACGTGACTAATTGAAACAAGAATAGTGGCACCAACCATTCCCTTCTTTTTTTTCTCCTCTCTCCTTCTTCACTGCTGATAAATGAAAGTTTCAATATTTTTTATTACAATTATTTATTATAAATTTATAAAAATATTTATTGATTTGAAGTTACGTTGACAAAGAAATGAACTGTTTCATATGATTTTTATATAAATAAAATTAATAAGATATATTATAAATTAAGCTTATTGAACAACATTCAATTTTGCTATTAATTAAAATATTATTTATATAATTTTAGCTTCAAACTAAATTATTCGCAATATTTCAATGAAAGATTGCGAATAATTTATGAAATTTCTCTTGTGAAAAATAAGTAATTAATTCGATTTACATTCATTCATTTCGATCACAAAGAAAATAATTAATTGCTATCGTAATTGATTAATAAATAAATCAGCTTGATATTTTGCATAATAATCGACTTTGTTACACAATTTAATACTCACGACACATTTTTTTATTTCAGAATAAGAAAACACAAAATTAAAAAAATGTATACATGCTATATGATAATTTCTTTTCAAATTATTTGTTTTATTTAATTTAAATTCAACTCAATATCCATTAAATCGATTTACATTCAAATCCTCAAGTCTTGACACATTTATGGAGCACTTAAAAATAAACTCGTTTCTTCCTTCCTGGTAAATTATTATCGACGTCCCGAGAAAACTCAACTTCAAGTGTTAATGCACTATTTTATCTTTATTATTATAAAAAATAATGAATATAAATAATGCACCTTGACAGCAATTTCTCGGATGACAATACTTTACGTTATTTAAATAGTATTTTAACTGAATGCAAAATTTATTGTTGTTAAATAAGCTTAATTTGTATTATTAAATAAACCTAATTAGATTTTATTAGTTTTATTATAAAAATAAAATAAAACATCAGTTTATTTCTTTGCCAACGTCGTAACTTCATATTACAACGTAAATTATTTCATTAAAAATATTAAAACTTTTACTTGCTTGTGATATAGATATATTTCTGATATATTCAAATATATTACATAATATAAATATCATTTTACGTTTAATAATAATCAAGAAATTAAAAACTTATTTACGATATTGATCTAGTAAATATTTATAATATAAAAGAAATATATTTTATTTTATAAAATCTCATTGTAATATTTTTACAATTCACGTTTTTTTAGCTCGATTTATAAAATATTTATAAGAATGCATCAAAAACATTAAAATAAAATTTATAAAATTGTTTGTACTGTTTTTTTAAAAAATATGAATATATTATATGGAAATTCAGTGGAAATATATGATAAATTTAATTTATCGAATAAATTTCACAGAATAATTGGCATTTCCTGAGAAAATCATCCCTTTAATTTTCAATGACAAGTGAAACAGACAAGCGAAAATTCACTATTAAATTCATTTATCTTTCAAATATAAATGTTTACGTTCAAGCGCGAATATATCAACATTCAATTTATACTGAATAATATCTAAAAGTATTTCATCAAATCAAAGTATCTCATTTCATTATAATAGGTATCAAAATGTGCAAATTTTTATATATATATTATAAAATTTTTTATTACTCTCAATCTAATATTTCTTTATCACGATGTTAATTTTCTGCAGAACTAAAGTATCTGTTTAATTATCGACAAAGTTTTATAAACAGCATTCTTTGTGTTGTATATTATTCAGTAACATTACATTCTTTCTCGAAATTATACATTGCACACATATGTTACGTTATTTTTAATAAATTTAAAAAACATAAAGAATTAATTTCTTAAATAGATTAATTATTTCCTCCAATACATATTTTATCGTTACACTAGAATAAAATGCAATATCTTTTTTTTTCAACTTTCGCATTATTCGAATAGCTATTAAAATCTTGAGACACGTATAACGATTTTCGTAGCCTTCAGCAATTTCTCCTTGCAAATTGCATCGTTGGAAGCCATTCTGGCGAGACGTGAGAAACTCGTATGCATAAACTCGCTTAGTAGGCTAAGTGACCTGTAGTTGCTACTAAAACAAGGAGGGTTTTCCTTTTGTGCCCAGCGAACTTACCTTAAGGAAGGCGTTGGAACGTATATTCCCTAACGAACAAAGAGCAAACACGAATCTTAGTAAGATCCCGTTTCTGAAACCCAAACTTCTTGCGAAACCAAATAATAACACAATATAAAATCATTTCTCCATCCTCTCTCTACTTTCCTTATATCGATCGTGCATTTATTCATCGCGAAGCGCCATAAAAACACAAGGAAAAATACGTTTTTTTTTTTTTTTTTATACCCATACTGTTATATCAGAGTCGAGATTTTCATTCGTTGAAAAAAAAATAATTTAGCTTCGCATGAATACAGAAATCCATAAAGCTACATATGTACCAGCGGGCTTTTAGAAATGCTGTTGAACACACGAGACGCAGCTTACGTAAATTTGACTACAAAATCTGACACTGTAACATCCGCTAATGTCGACGTTGAAGCAAGTTGCAAACAGGAACAGAATCAACTTTCGCTGCAAAACCTTATTATCATAAACTTTCCTTGTAAATGGAAACTGTCTCCCGTATTACGCATGTATTCCCGTATACGTAGTTACGACGATGTTACGACAATTAACATTATTTGTGCATTAACAAGGTAACAACAATCATTGTTTAAATCACCAATCCAGTCAGAATATAAATAATAATAGTTCCAGTTATACGAGATGGCGAGTCTGATGCTTTTGTTACTACCCATTTATTAATAGTAATTAAAAGTGTTTAAATTTTGTAGGAATTTGTCAAAATATATAGATATTTTATTACAACTATATATAAAAAATAGAATCTTGTCTCAAGTATATTAATTCGTACATTACATTTTACTTGAAATATTTTTTATATAATTACTAAAATAAATAATTAATAAAAATAAGTAATCCTTCTGCTTTATTTTCCAGTTACGAGATGGCGAGTCTGATGCTTTTGTTACTACTCATTTATTAATAGTAATTAAAAGTGTTTAAATTTTGTAGGAATTTGTCAAAATATATAGATATTTTATTACAACTATATATAAAAAATAGAATCTTGTCTCAAGTATATTATTTCGTACATTACATTTTACTTGAAATATTTTTTATATAATTACTAAAATAAATAATTAATAAAAATAAGTAATCCTTCTGCTTTATTTTCCTAATTAATATATTTATAATGCACGTTCTAGTCTCTTTAAAAATATTTGCAAACGCGAACGATGAAGCAAAATAAATACTCGAAATGCAAAAGTCTGTTTAATACATATTTAATATATATTGTTAACGTGCTTGTCTCCACAGATGTTCTTTGCGCAAAATTATTTTACACAATTTTTACACGCGAGTTTCCTCGTTTACACACATAACGGCGTAAAAAAATAATATCAGTGCTCGTCCATCGAAACTTCAAATTTATCGTTCGGTTTTTATTTGACATTTCGTTTGAAAAAAGAGACACAATCGAGCAGCGTCGATTTGCCGTTTTCAATTTTGCTTATTGCATAAAAGGAACCATCCAATATTACCCTTGGAACTAAATCTAACGATATCTTTTTGCCTCTTATTCGAATAAAAGAATATTTTGTATGCGTTGTGAATGTATTATAAAAATTTATAAAAGAGTTATTAAATCCTCAATGCAACTAAATTAAAAAAAATTTGAAACATATACTTTGGAATACTCTTTTATGATATCGCATTCGTTGTAATTAAATATTTTAACCATTTGTACTTTTGCTTTGTTATCTTTTTCATATAATGTGTTTCATTTAATAATAATATTCTGAATTATGTATTCAATAAACATGATGTTTTTCTGCACAAAATCTCAGTTCGATACATATAATCAGTAGAAAAAATAAATACCATAAATATTGAAAATTTATTATTTATATGTCAAATAATATCATTAGCTTATTGAAACAGTTTGAATATTATATAAATTAAATATATTATGAAATTATTATTTAAATTAAGTATTATTAAATATTAAATTTTTCTCTTGTGCTATTTAGCATAAAATATTCGTCTCTCTACTATAATGTTATTTAATAACATCAATAATATTATTGTTATCAATAATAATAGACATTCTAGATGTGAGTAAAGAAAATAGTTTCTCGTACATATATCAGTAAAAAATATTCCTCTATATATTCATACCGTCTTTTTATCAGAGTAGATGTAGATATTGCGGAAAGATGCAGATTGCTTTTTCAAAATTATGTTGTTCAAAGAATGACTATTTCGTCCTCGGAATGTGGAATGTGACGAGACATCGTCGACGCACGCTACTTCACATTCCATGACGTAATGCATAATGTATACATGTATATATACATTATGCAGTTCATAGTAAATCATGAGCCCAACTGCGAAAGGGTATGCTAATATACCGGGAGGCAAAGAAAAAAAAGTGCTGACTCGAGCCAAAAGAATATTACAACGACGAGAAGTTAGGACGCTTACGAGCAGGTCGACGTGTTCTTTATTCCTGACGTGTCTCGTCTTGAACTTACTGTATTTGTAACGTCGGTCCTTCGCACGTAACATTGTCATCCACCAGCGTGGAGCTTATGTAAACTGTTCGGGAGAGTTTCTATATGTACATAAAACGCGCAGTCGATTCTCCTCAATTATTTAAAACTCGATACGTTGACAGAATCGCGTCATTTCGTTGGAAAAATCTAGGTACAAAAAGAGTTAATAATATCGTAAAAAGTTATTTGCAACATATAAAATATATGAAGCATATCTTCGCTTCTTCTCCAAATTAAATATTTATTTATTCATTATTATTTATTTGGGAGGAAAAAGTT